ATCAGAAGAATCATTCGCGCGTTTTGATGCGTGATTATATTTTGTCACTTAAGTTTTAAAGGGGTCATATGATGCGATTTTATTTTTTCCTTTCTCTTTGGAGTGTTACAAGCTCTTGGTGCATAAAGAAGGTCTGTAAAGTTGTAAAGACTAAAGTCTCAAATCCAAAGAGATATTCTTTATAAAAGTTAAGAGTCAGCCACACCTACCTAAAACGGCTCGTTCGTACACGCCCCCACATATCTACCTCACTATGTGGGAAGATTTGCATAACGCCGCCCAAATGTTCACGCAAAGAAAGAAGGCGTAACTTTTATTCTAGCTGTATATTGTTGTTGCCGCTGCCGCCATGTCGTGAAGACATCACCGGATCGGCTTTCACCGTTTTCACCGCTCCTTCGTCGGATCCGCCGGGACCGCCGTTCTCGAGTTTTTGCCTCGTCGCTCCGGCCGGACACGGCATCGACAGTATGGTGAGGGGCGTAACATTTCTGTCTCACGCTTGAGGTATTCGGCCAATCACAATGCACTGGATAGCTGGCCAATCAGAGCACACCTCGCTTTTTCAGACTGATGAGCTTTGTAAAAATCGACGCGTTTTAGAAGGCGGGGCATAGAGGAGAAACAATAATGTACAGTATGTGGAAAATAATGTGTTTTTTTAACTTTAAACCGCATAAACATTTCATTACACCAAATACACAAAATAATGTTCTTTTTAGCAGCATCATATGACCCCTTTAAAAAGAACAGCATTTATTCAAAATATAAACAATATAAATTTCTAAAAATATAAATCTTTGCTATCACTTCTTATCAATTTAACACAATTAAATTAAATTGATTTAATTTAACACTTTTGAACGGTAGTGTATATATAACCCTAACCCTATACATGTCACAAAGCAAGGCCAGACACAACAGATGTGCAAAACAGGATGGTTTATTGACTTGGTAAGTGGAAGACTGGAATGGGTGAGTTAAAGGCAGGTGAATGTCAACACAGTGAATGGTTCCAGGGTGCTTATCTGAGTTCTGATGGAGAGGATCGTATCC